TTTTGTAATCGAAATAAATTCATTACTGTTGTGCAATAAAATCAAATTTTTTCTTTTCAAATATAAAACAAACAAAAAATTTCTTCATCTTTCTCACGAAACCATCTGGTGGCGAAACGGAGTTCGTCGGGTTTGCTAGTTTATAAATATTAAACAAATAACTTTAATAGAATTTTATTTTTCTCCTATCCTTTTAGGTTCGGCTAGGTGCAGATTTAAATGTTAAAGACAATTCTGGTAGAACTCCATTACATCATGCCTGTAGCATGGGTTATTTGCAGTGTGTCAAATTTTTAACAGAAAATTCAGAATTGCAAGAAAATATTAATGATATAGATGAAACAGGAAATACGCCACTTCATTACGCGGCATCAGAGAAAGTCTCTGAAAAGGGACTGTTCCAAAGAAAAGATGAAATCGTTTGCCATTTAATAGAGAATCTTAAAGCCAAAACCGATATTGCCAATAATGATGGTAAAACTGTGGAAGATCTTGTCAACGACAATGATAAGATGAGAAAGTACCTAAAGGAAAAAATATTGAAACATATCCAAGAACAATAAGATATAAGTTTTATATATTTCAGCATTTATGATTATTAATAGTGACTAAGTAGCATATCAGGTTTCACTATAGAAATGCTTTTGATATAGTGAACAGTGTAATTAAGAATAGTACAAAAATGTTGAACTTCCTAATTTATTCAATCATGTAAAATTAAGATTATTTTAAGTTTATAGCCAACATAATTTAGATGTCTGATAGAAATAAATATTATTAAAAAAATAGTCCTGAGGTGTATATTATTTAAAAGTTCAATAATTTAATGTCTTCTTATTAACAACTAAGCTAGGTGGAAGCGGTTTTTGACCTTAAGGTAAGTAGCATGAACACGATATGTGTAATAATAAACTTGATCGATAGAAACTTAGTTATTTAGATAAAATTTTCAACTGTTAATTTCAAAAATAGACCTTGCACAAAGACTTAGTTCAGATGCCTTCTTTTCTTGGATCAGATAATTTTGCATTTAAACTAAGAACAATTTGCGTTTGTTCTCCTGATACGGCCGTGTCGCGAAACTGGCTTGTGTCGCAAAACTATCATGTATTTCAATGCAAAAGGACAGAACAATTTGCGTTTGTTCTCCTGATACGGCTGTGTCGCGAATCTGGCTTGTGTCGCAAAACTAGCTACTAACACCATGGATTTCAATGCAAAATGACAGAACAAATTGCGTTTGTTCTCCTGATACGGCTGTGTCGCAAAACTGGCTTGTGTCGCGAAACTAGCAACTAACACCATGTATTTCAATGCAAAGGGACAGAACAAATTGCGTTTGTTCTCCTGATACGGCTGTGTCGCGAAACTGGCTTGTGTCGCCAAACTAGCAACTAACACCATGTATTTCAATGCAAAAGGACAGAACAAATTGCGTTTGTTCTCCTGATACGGCTGTGTCGCGAATCTGGCTTGTGTCGCGAAACTAGTATCATGTACTTCAATGCAAAATGACAGAACAATTTGCGTTTGTTCTCCTGATACGGCTGTGTCGCAAAACTGGCTTGTGTCGCGAAACTAGCAACTAACACCATGTATTTCAATGCAAAGGGACAGAACAAATTGCGTTTGTTCTCCTGATACGGCTGTGTCGCGAAACTGGCTTGTGTCGCCAAACTAGCAACTAACACCATGTATTTCAATGCAAAAGGACAGAACAAATTGCGTTTGTTCTCCTGATACGGCTGTGTCGCGAATCTGGCTTGTGTCGCGAAACTAGTATCATGTACTTCAATGCAAAATGACAGAACAATTTGCGTTTGTTCTCCTGATACGGCTGTGTCGCAAAACTGGCTTGTGTCGCGAAACTAGCAACTAACACCATGTATTTCAATGCAAAGGGACAGAACAAATTGCGTTTGTTCTCCTGATACGGCTGTGTCGCGAAACTGGCTTGTGTCGCCAAACTAGCAACTAACACCATGTATTTCAATGCAAAAGGACAGAACAAATTGCGTTTGTTCTCCTGATACGGCTGTGTCGCGAATCTGGCTTGTGTCGCGAAACTAGTATCATGTACTTCAATGCAAAATGACAGAACAATTTGCGTTTGTTCTCCTGATACGGCTGTGTCGCAAAACTGGCTTGTGTCGCGAAACTAGCAACTAACACCATGTATTTCAATGCAAAGGACAGAACAAATTGCGTTTGTTCTCCTGATACGGCTGTGTCGCGAAACTGGCTTGTGTCGCCAAACTAGCAACTAACACCATGTATTTCAATGCAAAAGGACAGAACAAATTGCGTTTGTTCTCCTGATACGGCTGTGTCGCGAATCTGGCTTGTGTCGCAAAACTAGCTAATAACACCATGGATTTCAATGCAAAAAGGCAGAACAAATTGCGTTTGTTCTCCTGATACGGCTGTGTCGCGAATCTGGCTTGTGTCGCGAAACTAGCAACTAACACCATTGATTTCAATGCAAAAGGACAGAACAATTTGCGTTTGTTCTCCTGATACGGCTGTGTCGCGAATCTGGCTTGTGTCGCGAAACTAGTATCATGTACTTCAATGCAAAATGACAGAACAATTCGCGTTTGTTCTCCTGATACGGCTGTGTCGCAAAACTGGCTTGTGTCGCGAAACTAGCAACTAACACCATCGATTTCAATGCAAAAGGACAGAACAAATTGCGTTTGTTCTCCTGATACGGCTGTGTCGCGAATCTGGCTTGTGTCGCAAAACTAGCTACTAACACCATGGATTTCAATGCAAAAGGACAGAACAAATTGCGTTTGTTCTCCTGATACGGCTATGTCGCGAAACTGGCTTGTGTCGCCAAACTAGCAACTAACACCATGTACTTCAATGCAAAATGACAGAACAATTTGCGTTTGTTCTCCTGATACGGCTGTGTCGCAAAACTGGCTTGTGTCGCGAAACTAGCAACTAACACCATTGATTTCAATGCAAAAGGACAGAACAATTTGCGTTTGTTCTCCTGATACGGCTGTGTCGCGAAACTGGCTTGTGTCGCGAAACTAGCTACTAACACCATGTATTTCAATGCAAAAGGACAGAACAAATTGCGTTTGTTCTCCTGATACGGCCGTGTCGCAAAACTGGCTTGTGTCGCGAAACTATCATGTATTTCAATGCAAAAGGACAGAACAAATTGCGTTTGTTCTCCTGATACGGCCGTGTCGCAAAACTGGCTTGTGTCGCGAAACTATCATGTATTTCAATGCAAAAGGACAGAACAAATTGCGTTTCTTCTCCTGATACGGCTGTGTCGCGAAACTGGCTTGTGTCGCGAAACTATCTACTAGCACCATGTATTTCAATGCAAAAGGAAAGAACAATTTGCGTTTGTTCTCCTGATACGGCTGTGTCGCGAAACTGGCTTGTGTCGCGAAACTATCTACTAGCACCATGTATTTCAATGCAAAAGGAAAGAACAATTTGCGTTTGTTCTCCTGATACGGCTGTGTCGCGAAACTGGCTTGTGTCGCGAAACTAGCTACTAACACCATGTATTTCAATGCAAAAGGAAAGAACAATTTGCGTTTCTTCTCCTGATACGGCTGTGTCGCGAAACTGGCTTGTGTCGCGAAACTATCTACTAGCACCATGTATTTCAATGCAAAAGGAAAGAACAATTTGCGTTTGTTCTCCTGATACGGCTGTGTCGCGAAACTGGCTTGTGTCGCGAAACTAGCAACTAACACCATGGATTTCAATGCAAAAGGACAGAACAAATTGCGTTTGTTCTCCTGATACGGCTGTGTCGCAAAACTGGCTTGTGTCGCGAAACTAGCAACTAACACCATGGATTTCAATGCAAAAGGACAGAACAAATTGCGTTTGTTCTCCTGATACGGCTGTGTCGCGAAACTGGCTTGTGTCGCGAATCTAGCATCATGTATTTCAATGCAAAAGGTCAGAACAAATTGCGTTTGTTCTCCTGATACGGCTGTGTCGCGAAACTGGCTTGTGTCGCGAAACTAGCAACTAACACCATGGATTTCAATGCAAAAGAACAGAACAAATTGCGTTTGTTCTCCTGATACGGCTGTGTCGCGAAACTGGCTTGTGTCGCGAATCTAGCATCATGTATTTCAATGCAAAGGGACAGAACAAATTGCGTTTGTTCTCCTGATACGGCTGTGTCGCGAAACTGGCTTGTGTCGCCAAACTAGCAACTAACACCATGTATTTCAATGCAAAAGGACAAACCAATTGCGTTTGTTCTCCTGATACGGCTGTGTCGCGAATCTGGCTTGTGTCGCGAAACTAGCTCTACTAACACCATGTATTTCAATGCAAAAGGACAGAACAATTTGCGTTTGTTCTCCTGATGTACTATTACATATATTCATACTATTTCCAAATTTGGTCTCATTCTGTTCATTTGTAAGTTCCACAAATTTAGTAAATGTCCTTAACTGGACGGTTGTAAATAAAAGAGATAATAAAAGAAATAGCAAATAGGATTTTTTGGAGAAAACAAACCTTTTCTTCAGAATGTTAAAAATTTATTACAAAGTACTAAATTGTAAATTAAACTTAAAGGATAATTAAGTTATTTAAAAGTAAATTAATTTAAGATTAAAAATCAAAACCTGACAGCAAAATGCAAAAGTTATGCTTATCTATTCATGGCAATAACGTTTAAAATGTATAACAGTTTCTTTTCTATCATAATTTTTTGACTAACCTGACTTATGTGGCACTTTGTAAATCGATAAACTATTCTTTAGGCGACACTGTGAACACTTTTTCATGCTTTCAACAGCTTAATTAATTAATTACACCGCACTATATATAAAAACGTTAACAACTTTTGTACATTTGAATTACATATTTCAACATAACCTCAAAAACATTTTGACAACTAAGACAGAAAATAGTTGGCACGCCTGTATGAGAATTGCAATGAAGGTAGATACCAACTCAAATGGAAATCTAACAAAAACATAACCTAAAACAAATATGTCAACACGCACGTGTTGAACGAATAACCAACAAAAGACAATATTTAATAATTAGTAACTAAATAAAGATATTTTAGAATTTATAATATTTGTTAAAAATGTCTGTGAAACAAAGTAAAAAACGTAAAGCATCAGGCGATGTTGACAATGGTGCTTCTCCTGAACAAAAACGACGTACAAAAAATAAAAGTGTAACTTCTGAGTTAAATGATGAGAGTAAAATTGATGAAATAGAAGAAAAAAATGATACTGCGAATTCTTCCGATAAAAAAGTTGTTGAACAGAACGGGCACGATGCAAATTCTGAAAATGAAGATGACCAGGAAGATAATGATGATGGTCAATCTGAAGATGAAAATGAAAATGAGAATGATACTAAAGAGGCTCTGCCCCCTTTGGATATGAAAACTTTTAGGAATGAACTGAATGGATCTTCTGAAAATGCTTTAGCAGGTAATAATTTACTAATAATTTAAATTTCTAAGCTGAATTATAGCTATTCATTAGCAAGTGTCAGGTTGGCAACTAAGTAAGTGCGGATTTTGCTAGAGAATCAAAGACATTTTTTTCATTGAACTAATTAACTTTATTTTGTAATGTATTTATTCTTTTTGTAATCTTTCAAGCAACATCATTATCCTACTCTCATGAAACTTCTGGTTTTTATTAGCGAAAAACTGAATCAAGTATGATTTGACACCGTCATAATTATTGAATTGTTTACCATCCAAAGAGTTTTGTAAAGACGAAATCGAAAAATAATCAAAAGATGCAAGGTCAGGACTGTGTGGTGGATATGACAAAATATCCCAATTAAGGTCCTATAAGTTTTGTGAAATACTTCTAATACGGCTTAATATATGTGATGACAATAATAAAATAAATCACTGTTTCGATTTGTCAATTCAGGCTAGTTTTCTTGAAGTGCATTGGTTAATTTTGTCAGTTATTCAATGTAGACATCTGAATTGACCGTTCGGTTTGGTCGTAAGAGTAAGAGTAGACAATTCCTTTGTAATCAATTTCAACAGGATGACAAGAACATTTCTTATCTTTGAGTGAAAAATGACTAGAATGAAATTTGTTAAACTAATTTTGATGCTGCTGTTTTTTTATAGCTATTTTTTTGTTTGTCACCATAAACAGGGCATTACTTTTTGTAATCTTAAAATGTTTTCACCTAAGAAGAAATAAAAAAGCAAAATATGACAGAAAATTTCGATTTGATTATCCATCTTTGAACAAACATTCTTTTTTACTAATATAAATTGCCTACTGTCTTTAACAAAAGGTATTTCACATTTAGACTACATTAGCAGACCTAAATTCAATTGAAACCATCTAAGAGTAAAAGCCGCACTTAATTAGTTGCCATATCAAATATGTATATCCTTTTATATTATATAAATTTCTTTCAGTGCTCAAGAGATTCAATCGTTCTTCACCCGATACAGTAAGTGATTACCTAAGAACTGGCGGAAATGCTTTTGAAATTTTAAGTGTAATTAGTAAAATAGATAAAAAAAACACTAGAGAAGCCATGATAATATTCGAAGCTTTACACCGGGTTTTGTTTGAAATTATTGCTAATTATGCACATCTTATACCAAATGCTTTAGAAGCCTGTAGATATCTTATGAACACACATATGAATTTCGTTCACACTATGTTAAGTTCAACGGGCAAAGCTATACAGAGAAAGTCAGCTTTAAAATTACTCACTGCTATGGTATCGGTAAACTCATTGTTAGGAAGAGATATATTAAGTCATTTAAGTTTGCATTTACAAATTATTGAAATGTTATCCATGCAAATCAATCCTTTCGACAAAGGCAGTGTGCGAGTTTGTTTTATACACTTTCTAATGTCTTTTCTGGTTGAAGGAGATTTACCTTTGATACGCCAATTCTTAAGTCGCAAAGGTATTCTGAGTGCTATAATACCAGATTTAATATACGATCTACCCAGCACTGTAAATTTAGTTTTGACTACTATAAGAACGTGTGTGCTTGAGAATATAAATATTTCCAAAACACTCAAAATGCAAACGTTTAACACTTTTGTGGTGCAGCATTTGGTTAAATTGTATGATTGGTTGGGACCTTGCAATTTTGAAAAAAATAAAACCAGAAGAAAGTCGAAATTTAAGCAAACTGTAACTGAAGTGAGTGCAGATGATAAAGAAATTGTTTTGAAGTCTGTACATGATTTAATGCTTGTTTTGTGTACCTCGTACAGATTCGGAATTGTGTTCAGGAATAAAAGTTTCGGCAAAACCAATAACAATCCTTTGTTAAATATGATACTTAAAAGTATTGACAAACCTTGGGAAAACGAGCGAAAGCAAGATTTGGTAATAGCTTCGTTAGAAGCTTGTCCGGATTTGTACCAAAATTATATGCAACAAATTTGTTCTTATTTGCAACCAAGAAATTCTAACGCTTGGGCCAAAACTGTATCGTTTGTTTATAATTTAATATCCAGAATAACGCCGGATAAATTAATAAATTATAATGAGCAAGTGAGCTTGAAACAATTGTCTAATACTGTAGGATTAATATATATGCCTGTGCATGTTTTGAAATATTTTAACGACGAGTTTTTCCAAACAAATAAGGACGTTGCTGTTGAGTACGAGGCTTTGAAATTGTTTCAAATTATGTTGAAGCAAGTTAATGCTTCGATAAATTATATGAAAACGAACCAAAGTGATACTCAGCAGTTTCAAAAATATATCACAGAACATATTTCTAACACATTTCCTTCGATTGATAATATATTAGGCTGTTGGATACTTGCTTCTAAACTAAAATCTGAAAATGAAAGTGCAGAAGCTGATGTTGAAATCAAAAAACCGTCCATTGATGCACACAGAGAACTTATTCTAGACTTATTAATCTCTTACAACAATTGCAATTCTAACGCTTACCATAATGTATCAATAACTTTAGATTCTGAAGATATTTTAGATAAAATCACCAGTTTCAACGATGGTACGAAAATCGATTCCGTTTGTATGAAAACTTTAGAACTATTGATGCAAATTAATTCAAAAGAATTTGTACCAAACACCAGACTATTTGAAAAAACATTTTTAATACTCTTAAAGCAATTTGTCACCGACAGTTCTGAGTATGTTAAAAATTTGATCCTAAAATTGATGAATTTAACAGGTTTATATGATGCTAATAAGACGGAAATGGAAATTTGGTTACACGGTTTTAAATACATTGATGAAGAACACACAAACGCGGTTATCAATTTTTTGTACCAAGTAATTGATGAGTCTTCAAAAAGTATTTTTAAATATTTTGATAAATTGTCTTTATTGAAAAAACAAGCCCAAGTAGATGATAACGAGTTTGTTGCACGCAAATCTGCTTATGATGATTTATTTGATAATATTGAAAATATTGATGATAATTCGTATACGAATTTAGAAATTAATAACTTAGGACCGGTTTTAATTTGTGCTGTTGAATTATTAGAGCACAAAAAGTATAAAAATGACCAGGGCGTAAAATTGTATTTGTCTCACGTTGCTTTGTATTTATATCATAATTATTATTCGTACAGAGTTGTTTCTCATGTGATAAAAAATACTGGATTGGCGTTATTTGAAGAGTATTTGGAATCCTGGATGGCACTCAGTGTTATCACACCTTTGAAAAAAATTTGTGGAAAAAAGACTTTGATGTGCAAAGTAAGCAAAGCAGTTTTGGCTGAGGAATCTATAGATGTTTTTAAAATTTTGGGTTTAAACAATTGTGAGGAGGGTATAGAAAATAGCTTAAATATTTTGGGACAAGTTTGTGTCCTGGAAAAAGATTTAAACAACGTAGAAATATTTTGTTTGCTGAATATGTGCATATTTTATATATCAAGACTAACACAAGTTTCATTGCTGACTGAAAATATTGTAGAAAACGCGCAAAAAGTATGTTTTGCTTTATGTGATATCATGTACCACAAAAATAAGAGCGTATTAAGCGATGCAATGAAATTATTCCTTACAAACCCGGTTATTTTGCAACATTTCAATCCTATACCAAAAAAGAAACAAAGTTTAGTGACAAACTTTGTCACAAATTTTGTTAAACATTTAAAAAGCAAAAATGACATCACTTACCTTATGTACCAACAATATTTGTTACCATACAGATCTAAAGTTGTACGTTCGATGAAAAAAGCGATTGAAAAAGAAACTGTTTTGAAAAATAATGATGCTATTGATGTCTTGGATTTGTTCAATATTACATTTGAAGAATCCTTAACAATTTTGGGAATGTTGGTGGAGCTTGATTACAAAAATTTTATATCTGCTGAAAATGATGCATCAAATTGGTCTAATGCTTTGGTATTTGCATTAAACAAAATTTGCAGTTTGAGTACAAATACTGACAAATTAGATAAAATTAGTACAGAAGTTTGTTCAAACTTATCATCACTGTATGTAAATTTGAAAACAAAACTTGATGTTGAAATTAATTTTGATACTTTGGAAGATTATTTATACAAGTTGCTTTCAACGTTTCCTCAAATCGTCGTAGAATTTTCCAAAAAATTCAAACATTTGCTAGGGAGTAGCAGAATTAGTAAAAACACTGCTAAATTGATTTCACTATGTTTAGAACGTGATTGGGCCCAAAAAAGTTATTTCATCAAGTACGTGAACAAGACTGAAAATATATCAAAAAAAGAAATTATATTTCCTTTACTAACTGCAGCCCTAAATCATAATTTCAACGACGAAACAGTTTTGCAAAATGTGTTCAACGAACACAAAGTGAGTATTCAGAAGGTTATAGAGAAACCACATAAAGCTGGTCAAATGTATAAAGACAATTACAAAATGATAGCCTATATTGTGAATAAATGTATGGATATACCAGTTTGCCAAGGTTTTACTAACAAAATTTTGAAGTTTGAAGTTGCAGAACAATTTCACATTGAAATTTTGCATGAGGTCTACATGAAAGTGGCTTTAGGCAAAACGAAAGATAAAAAGTTTATAGAAAACTACTATATTGTTTTGATAATGCTGTTGAATATAACTTTACGCCAAGGTACTACAGATTTAGATAAAGTATTATTTATCCTGGACAAAATTAATAAATGGACAATGATGTTTGGTGACGAGTCGTTTAATCGTGGTAACATTTTAAAACATGGCAGTTGGGAAATATTTTGTAAGCTTGCGTTGAAAAATGGTTTGAAATCAGCAAAATCCACAGATGCATTTGAGTATAATAATGGTGTTTTGTTAAAAGTTTTGGCACTTTTGTGTAAAGTCTTCTACCAAGATGAAAGTGATGAAGCTTGTACGATTTTCCAAATGGCAGTTTCGCACTCAGAGTTTGTGAATGTTATTTTACAAACCGAAGACAATGATGCCAAAACATATTTGCTTGAACTTATGTGGTGTATCGTGCAAAAAAATAAATCAGTAATGCAAACCTCACATGTTCCTGTATATTTAGGCGCGTATCACGCCTCTTTATCAACTAGCGACAGGTTGATTTTGGCTTTACTTCAATTTTACGAAAAATCAGGAGTCAGTTTGTACGAATACAGGCCGTTTTTGTGGGGCGAAACTGCTGTGAATCATTATTCGCTCAAAGGTTCAATAGGCAACAATTTGTGGCGACAACCTTCGATGAACGAAGTACTAGATTTACTAGACTCGAATATGGTAGATAACACCATAAAGTATTATCCTGTTACCAGAAGTATGGACGCAACTGAACAGATATATTTTGAAAACGAAGAAGGAAAATCGGGACACCAATACGAAAATCGTTTGTTGGAAAAATGTATCGATCGTGCGATTTTGCAGCATGAAGACAACACGGTGTTATCAAAAGTGCTGAAGAATGGAACAAGTATGTTGATGTCTGCTCCTGATTTGAACAGATCGAGTGAGATTTATGATCCAGCGTTTTTCCTGCCGCTGTTTTCGCTGCTGTTTGCACCAGAAGCTGCACCAGCTACTGGTAAAGCAGCTGTTAGTGGAGTGACGTCGCTGATTTGGAGGGCGATGGGTTCCCGGCAATCTGATACGAGGTCTGCGGCTTGTCTGGCCTTGACCAGGGTACGAGGACACATTGATGCCCAAAGGTAATTAATTTAATGATCGTAAATTTTTTTTGACCATCATATCTGTTCTTAAGGGGGTGTCTGGAAGCATGAATTTTATGCTAATGCTTTAAAAAAGGCAAATAATATTTCTATAATATGTTTGTACAAATTAATATTTAATGTTTTGAGAATGTAAAGAAAAATTAAAAATAGCCAGAATTTTAATTCTAGGTATCAAAATAGGGGGCCTTAAAAATTTGCGTGACCTTACCTATGATTTTAATCCTCCAAATAAACCGTTAAATAGTAGTGCATGGCATCGTGCTTCAAGGCAAATTGCTGAAACTTCCCGTAGAGATAATTAAAAAATTTAAAAAAGCCTTGAAATTTGTTGAAAACTGAAAATTTTTGAAAATTTTATGACTTACAAAAAAATTCTTTTTTGAAAAAATTTTTTTTTTCTTAATTCCTTAATTTTTCATCGGTTCACACACATACGTATATATCCATTTTTTCTAAGGTATGCCAAAATGTTCAGAAACCTTTGAAACGCAAAGATATTTAAATATTTTCATTTTAATTAGAAGATTATTAATATAAAATAATGCATTTGTATAATTCTTTGGTATTTTAAAAATTTAAAAAATAGTAAAAATAGGAATTTGGAGATGTGCGCGAGTAAAAGTTGAGAAATCGTGCGTATCGTATCAGTTTCAAGAAAAACACATTTAAAATTTTGCGGAAAAATGAAACAGAGGGGAATTAGTGGTCAAATAACTATATCTCCAAAAATAATTTAAATTTTGAAAAATCCTCTTGTATATTGTATTCCTGAATTAGTAAAACTTTGAAAAATCAAAATAAAATCGATTTTTTTTTTAATATTCTAGTTCAGTCCTCTTAGAGGAGATATATACATAGAAAGTGGTTTTAGGCGAACCGAAAACTAAAAGTTTTATTTGTCCCCAAATTTTCAAAAAAATCGAGAATATCAGAAGAAGTTTTTTTAAAGGGCTCAAACCGGGGGTATGGTCCTGTGTCAATTTCTTTATATCACCTGGTAGAATTAAAACTGTTTTTAATTTTAATTATTTGTGTGTTTTTAGAACATTAGTTTATAGCTTATAAATTTGATGGTAAAAATATTATTTGCTTTTTTTACAGTCTTTCAAAAATCACACAAAATTCATGGCTCTAGATTAAAATCAAAAATAATTTCAAGGTATCAAAATGGTTTTCAACATCTAGTTTTGTGTTTCAAGTTCACATATAATGTTTACGACTTTACTTGGAATTATATCTTTACTCAAATTGCAAATTTTATTTTACAATGAAAAAAAGACAAATTTGTATACCCGAAAAAAATTTATTTTTTTATTGTGCTATTTCGAGTTTTTAAGTCATTCTGTATTGTTTATCATAGAAATTGAGAAAAAAGTGTGAATGAACTAAAATTTCACTTTTCGACGACGTTTTCTAAAAAATAAAAATTCAAAATTTTAAAAAATATCAGTTTGGAATTATTCTGCTTAGTTTTTAGTAAAGATCAGATGTATCATTTCTTTATAATTATTTTTTTGGGTAAACATAAACTAGTCATTCTTAAAAATTATAGGCCTACGAAAAGTGGATCTTTTATAAAATTCATTATTATTTTGAATAAAGTCGCACCCTCAGGACGTGCACTGTGCATCTTCCATTGACGTTCACACTTAACATACATTTTTAGAATACAAAGAATACAATTTGTTAAATAAATAAACATATATTATAAGTTTACTTGAATGATGTAAATTGGAAATGGCATGCATCAGGTTTTGGTGAAAGCAAAAAGTTTATTTCTAAACCATGCAACTTGCCTTAAGGCGAAATACCACTTACACCTAATTTATTCTATTTCAGATATGCAAAAGATAAAGACCTATGGTTACATTCAATAGACTTTGTCCGAAGAGCCATATCAGAAGAGCAAACCGAAGAACCTGATCTTTCCACTGCACCTAGTTTATCCTCCATAACTTCCTTATTCCTATCAAGGACATCAAGAGTTCTAACACAACCTTTGAACGGTCTCTACAACCCTTTAACAAATTATTTAGTCGTCAAAGAAAGAATGGAATTAAAAACAGTGCCTGAGATGTTATTACTTCTTCACAGTCCAAACCCGGAATATAAAATCCACAGAGTGTGGATGTTAGAACTACTTCGAGATGGTGTAAAAACAACCGATGATTTTGAAGTAATGTTAAATAGCTGTGCATATAAGTTGATCATGGATTTTTATACATGTACTATATGTGATAAGGATTGCAAAATTTTAATATTGAACATAATGAATAATACGATTAAAATACCAAAAGCAGCTAAACTTCTTGCAGAAGGACATGGACTGTTGCCATGGTTGCTGGGTGTGATTACAACTTTAAATCAGACAGAATTCGATTTAATATCTGCTGTTATAGTTTTGATTAATAATTTAAGATGTAGCTTGATTGCTTATAATTTAAACCAACATTTAATATCTAGTAATGTAATGGATGCCCAAAATTTGATTTTATCAGATCACACAACTACTTTCCTTTGTACTTTGATTACTATGTTATCACAAAAACTAACGCACCGTTTAAGTTCAAAAATTTTAATTAAATATTTAAAAACTTCATATTACCTAATGCAATATAAAAATTTATTCAATCCACCAGCTATTGATAATTTAATAAGTATTTGTGAAAAAGTTTTCAAACAAGATACAGAGTGTAAAATTCTTTTGCAAACTAAAGCAAATCATGCTCAACCTTTGAAAATTTTAGTCAATTCTATTTTAAATTCGGATGCAGATCCATATGCAGAATATGGAATTAAATATTTAAAATTGCTTATAAGGAGTTGGTTGAAACATGAAGAAATTTGTTAAATATATCTTTAGATAATAAATTGACAAATATAAATTTGTAAATTATATGACTAATATTATTGTTTAGATATATTTAATACATGTTGTTTTACAAAAACTGTTTTATATTTATCATATTCTTAAAAAATTAAAGGACTAATTTGCCAATATTTTTTTGTTTTTGCATAAATTATTTTTAAAACTAGGTGTAAATGTCTTATGGCAAGTTGCATGTATATAATAGATTTAAATTTTTAAGATGATTAGTTTAGATGATTAAGATGATAAGTAACTTTGCAAATTTCAATGATAAAATATGCAATTGTTTATTTCGATTATAAAGTTTTTGTTTTCTAATTAATTGATATCGTCCAAACAAATTTATAATATCTGTAACTGTATTAATTAAATTAATTTTTTTAAAACCGCTTTCCGTAGGCCTATAATATTTTAAGATGTGTCATGAACTCTACTAACAATTTTTTTCAAAATATTTTTAAGAAGAAACTGCCTAGTCGATCTTTACCAAAGATTGATCAGCAAAGTACCCAACGAACGTTTTTGAAACTTTAAGATCAGTTCAGGATTTTTAGCGAAAATATTGTATCTGACGAGTTATCTGCTAATTATAAAGAAACGCATCGATCGATGCCACGGAAAACTTCAAGACGATTTTCAAAAAACAGATCACGGATCAACCGATTTGAGTGGTTTAAAATAACATTGGATTCCTATTGAAAGGGAGATGTGCTGATTAGTTTTTGGCAAAGGCAGGTCCAGCCGTTGCGGAGATACGTAGCAAAGAGTTAAAAAATTCCTAAAAAATCGATCACGTGATTAATGGACGAGCCTTAAGAGTGCAGTTAGCTCATTATACAGAAATATACAAAAGATAATGAAATTTATCATTTTTTCCATTCATCATTGGATCCATCAACATCCAATTTATATTTTTAGAGTAGTGTTTGAATTTTAAAGAAACGGTTCGACTGATCGTTGAGCGTTCCAACTAATGGTATTCCATTTATGATATGTTTAGAATACTAGTTGCAAGTTCAAAACATACTGAATTTATTTCAAAAACAAAATCTGAATGAAACCCATGATATGCAGTGTTAAAAATAAAATAATTATAATCTCGTGTTAAATATGATCTGACCTCAAATTGCGAAGATGATCGCCGGAGTGTAATGATGCTTTAAATTTAATTCAATGAACTTCTTACGATTTATGGAATAAAGTCGTTATAATAATGTTGCGACACGATTTGATTTGATTCCTTTACGTCACGGCCGTTCATCACAATATTTATAAAGATTTCTGAGAAAAAACGCGCGATATACATGTTTTATATATCGAATGCCGCTCTTCATGATGATTTGTTGTCAAACAATATTCGAGCGAAATCCAAACTAGAGATATGTAATGATCTTTAAGGTCAATTTAACGTCATTTGATCGAAAGAAGTTATTTGAGACAGGGTTTCAGAAAAAAACTAATTAAAAGTGGCATTTTGCTTAAAGGCAAGTTGCATGAAATTCGCGATAGCTGTAATAACAAAAGGACCTATTCTACCAAAATTGAGATTTAGACATTTTACACATTTATAATATTTGTAACTAAATTAATTATAGCGCTCACACGCGTGTTTGTACGTCCTAAAATTGTAGCTTATTATTCCAAATTTTTATGAATTTATATAATTCAACCGATTTTTATAGGATTGTTTAGTGCATGAACTTTATCACCATGTTTAATTTCATGAAAAATTTCACAACATTTATTAACTTCCCGTAGGGCAAGTTATGGTAATCGCAAAAAAATCAAAAATGAATTTTTTTATAGATCTTTACGTTTCAAAACCTTCTGAACATTTTGGCATACCTTAGAAAAAATGGATGTATGTGTGTGTGTGTGTGCGTATGTATGTTCGGATACAAATTTTCGTCGACGATTTCGGGAACACGGATCAACCGATTTGAATAATTCAAAAAACATTCGATTTGTATTGATAAGGAGACGTGCTGATTAGTTTTTGGCGAAGGCAGGTCTAGCCATTCCGAAGATACGGGGCAAAAAGTGCCGAAAACGGTAACTCAGTTTTTAAGAGAACGGAGCGTCCGATTTCAATAATTAAAAAAACATTTTATTTGTATTGACGAAATGAAGAAATGATGAATTTTTGGGTCGGCGGGTCTAGCGGTTTTGGAGATCCAATAAAACAGTGAAAAAATGCCAGTTGGCGGATAAAAATGTTCATTAGACATATGCACATCAAATTATTACATATTTTATATATATTTTAATAATAATAACAATTTTGTTCATATTTCTGTGGGTTCCGTACCAATGTCTCTACGCAGCTAACTTAACGCGATTGCTTTAAAAAAAAGTTAAAAATTTCCAAATTATTTCAAAGTATAAATATATCAAATTTTTCTTTTTTTTTTCAAATATTTAAAAAAATTCAAAGGTCGAGTTTTTTAAAAAAAACTTGAATCTTTTAAAAAAAAATAATTTTTGGTACTGAAATTTCCAACAATTAGAATTTAACAGTTCTTGGAGCTGTTGTGATGACACTTTAATTTAAAAATGTTCCTATCTGTGCCAGAAATTCCAATTTGCTATTATTTTCATGTTTTCTAGATATTTCCAGCCAAAAAAAAATTGGACGTTTTTAAAAAAGTTAAAATTTTTGAAAAATATCGTTTTTTTAAATTCATTGAAGTCGATTGATCTATAGTGTGAAAACATCGAGAAAATTTGTTTGATCTAAAATTCAATCAATTCTTCATTCCATGAACACAAGTAAATTTTTTTTTGAATAATTTGAATCGGTCGCTCCGTTCTCTCAAAAATTTAATTGCCATTATTGGCACTTTTTTACTCCGTAGCTTCGAAACGGTTAGACTTGCCTTGTTTAAAAACTAATCAGCACGTAACTCTATCGAATGTTTTTTGAACCATTCAAATTGGTTAATCCCTCTCGAAATCTTCGACAAAAATTTTGTATCCGCACACACACTCACATACACATTCATTTGTTTAAAAAGATATATAAAAAAATTCATTTTTGATTTTTTTGCAATTACTATAACTATTCTATTACTAGCCCTGTATAGTACAATCGTAATTTTATCGCTCCGCTCAGTAAATAAATATAGTATCGATAGTAAAACACATACGAATGGATTAATGAATGATGAATGAATGCAATGATAAACAAAAAAAAAACCATAATACATCTTGGGGTCAGTGCGTGGGTCACACAAGTGCTCATATTGCGACAGGGGCCACGGGCCATAGGTTGTTATAGCAGAAAAGGGTTATTTCGATACGCAATAAAATTATTCAGAAAGGCTTAATTATGCGTAGTAAATTATATTGATGTTCTCGTATGCGTTAATTTTAATCGAAATATGTAATTTCAATTTGACTAGGTGGAAGTGGCAAATACCAAAAATGCAATTTTTTAATTCGATATTTTCCAAAAACTAGTCAGCACGAATCCCAAATGGTAACTTTTTATCGGTTTTTTAGTTTTCAAAATAGATCCAGAATTTTTTGCGAAAGTGGACAAAAATGTTTGCACAATTCGCCAACATCACGGAATTTTTGTTTCATCAAATTGCATTTAAATTTTTGAAATCGTCTTAACCGTTTTTGAAAACTAGTTGGTATTGGTATTTAGCCTTGAGGCATGTTACATGAACTTCCCGATATGTGTAAATAATCGACTTAACCAATAAAAAATAAATTAATTTATGAGTAGATTTATTACACATATTCGAAAACGAACAAATACGTTAACTCGGAGTATTTTCAAAAATCAACAATTATTATATTTGAACCAGTTTCCGTAGGATTTTAATGGTTTAGTATGTGTATTAAGATCAAGTACTCTATCGTTATACTAAATAAATCGTCTAATTTTAATTTTAGCTAACGTCAAAAAAACTAATCATTTTCTCAAACTTTGATGAATTTTTAAAATTAAACTACTTGTCGTAAGGCCGTAATATTACAGTAAATTGTATAAGACTTATATAGATATATATCGCTAGAAAAAATTCCGCAGTTAATTACAAGAAAACGGCTCGTAGATTTTCACCTAAAACTAATCAGTGCCATTTCCAACTAATATCTTTCGAACAGTTTAACACTTTTTTTCAAATTACAAAAAACAGCTTGGCAGATCGTCGCACAAAACTGACAAACGATAGTCCTCATCGAAATACATCATATGGCTTTTAAATTTCTGAAATTCGTTAAGGCGTTTTTGAGAAAACGTCGCTGAAAGGTCTAATTTTGACAAATGCCAAAAAAATGATACCAATTTTTGCAAACTTTGACGAATTTTCAAAGGCAAACCAATTGTCGTAGGGCCGTAATATTTTAGTATGATCTAGAAGACTATAGTTTTAGAAATTTTTTAACACTTTATTACAAGAGCTCGGCCGGGCCGATCTTTACCAAAAACTAATCAGCACAATTCCCAACCAATATCTTTCGAACGGTTTTTGAATTTTCATAATCGGTTCAGAATTGCGGGCTAAAACGTGGACAAAATTTTTTTCACTTTTCTGCTATTTATAAAGAAACGTATCGGCCGATCGTCCCACAAAACTGACAAACGATAGTCCTCGTCGAGATACATCGAATGGCTTTTAAATTTTTGAAATCGGCCCAGCTGTTTTCGAGAAAACGTCGATTTACGGCAAAAAATCTGTTCACATACACACACACATACTTTTTCCAAATTTGTTCTCATTCGATTCAGAATGGCTTGAAACGTCGAGAAAACATAAAATTAGCGAATCGGATTTTTTTATGAAAACATAAACTTCTCCTTCGGTAAGTTAAAAAACGACGATGAAAAGTCAAAAACTGACTGAAACTGAAAGTCAAATACTCTCATACATATATAGTTTTTTTCTAATTTGGTCTCAATCGATTCTGAATGACTTAAAACGTCGAGAAAATATAGAAGTAGAAAATCGGATTTTCTGGTGAAAACAAAA